AAGTCTGTTAATCAATTCATCTCAGCAGTAACTGCTGTTGGTAATTTGGCCTAAATGCATTCAAAATGCCCACAAAAATGCTGCAATTAGCGAGACAGCAGCAGTAAATTATTAGTTTTAAATTAGGGGATCCTTGGGATGCTGCCAGGTTGTGAAAACATAGCAGTGTCACTATTCCCCCCAGTGAGTCTGAATGAAAGTGGGCGATAAAAGAAGAGAGGTTGTCAGAATAAACGAACAGGGGGATGGCAAAAACTGGTGCTTTGCTTTCTGCACACGGGCAAAGGGGGCATTGCTGCCAGATGGGAAGTTGGAGTCGGAGCTCTCTTTGGGGCATGCTGAGCCATTTGGCTCTCATCCAAATGGGCAATTTCACAGGGTAGGGGGGGAGGAATAGAGGGGGGGAATAAGCTCGAAAACAAAGCAAAAGTTAAGCAAAGAAAGAGGCGGAAACTGGATCTGAAAACCATTTCACACGCAGCACTTCATCAGCTCGGGTGCTTACGATACCCACTATCGTAAGCATGGGGTAATTAGCACTGCTATGTGTAGCGAGCCGTGGTGTATGTATGCACACAGCTCTCGTGGCTTCCTATGGGTGTTATATACTGGCTCAGAAAGAGCTTGAGGACCACAGGGTGAAGCTGAACAAGTCACTATCAGAGGAGTCACTTTAACACAGATTACTCTATATCCTCGCTGCCATGAAGACTGCACAACTGTATGCATACTGACTCCGCAGCCAAATTGAATTTCATGCTTTCTGCGGACACCTACTGTGTACTAAATCCACAGAGGGATAAAGTAGCCGAAAAGCTGTTGTTTAATGTATTGTGTGCAGCGAGAAATGCTGAATATATTCTTCCTTGGCCACGCATACATCCCTTGTAGATATGGCGGACGCAGTGGTGGGATAGAAAATGAATTACAAATGAGTACATTACATCATACATGAATCTAAGCAAATGTGCATGTTATCTTCCTCGTCGTTAAGGAAAGGAGAATAATCTGCTGGCCTAATTGTCAGCTTAACAGAGAGAGAGAGAGATACTGTACTTCCCATTCTTCCCAGGGAGAGGTGTGGAGGGAATCAAGAGGAACTGCACTGATCTATATGCATCTGGCTTAATTGCGGCACCGGGGTGTGTTGGGATCAGGCGGTATGGACTAAAGTCTAGCATTGTGAAGCGCCCATCCTGATTATGTGCTGAAACGGGGCACGGGAGGAGTGCCAGGCAGACAGGCAGGAAACCCAAAGTAAATTCTGCTTCTGCGGCTCGACGCAATCTCCAAACGCTTCGAGAAAAATGTTAAAAAAAGAAAAGGGGAGAGAGAAATTTGGAGATGTGCATTATGCATTGTGGGCATAAATAATGCAGGGAGAAACTTCTTGCACTCGGAAAGGATCCTACACTTTCTCTTCCACCGTCAACAGCCCGATAGTTGCACAAAAACTACTGGACTTACCGTCATTCGATAACATGGAACGACGCAGAAATGCTGGACAGTAATTGCATCATTGTCTCGTTCCTGGCTTCTTATGAAGCACACTGATCACGCAATCGTTTCACTTCAGGGGAAACAAAACACCTTAGAGAACAGGTGGACCTGCTTGAGCTGTTTCTTGTGAGAGAAAAAAAGGTGGGGGGGGAGGACTTAATCAAAACACAAGCTGGCCAATGAGATGACATTTCCTGTTCACCTTGCGTGTGATCCTTTCAGTCCATGTTATTTGCAGCACAGGAACTGAAAAGAGCAATGTGTTGCCCATCATGAGTCATTCAGGGATAAAGGTGCTCTTAGGCCTCGCTCTCTTTGTAGGGGTGGTCGAAATGGAAGGCGTCCTACCGGTTTACTGGCTTAGGATGTCAGCGTGTCCTCTCTCAGGAGTCCTTTATCACAGCGTTCCAACTCCATAAAACACTGCATATTAAACTAAATCTGTCAGGTGTTCAATATGGACCACTGTTTGGTCATCAATCATAAAAATAAATAAATAAATAAATAAACACCACTGCAAAGTCAACGGCATAAGAGCCAACTATAAATTTCTGCCAAACAACCTCCTGAACACCAGCGGTGATGTATGGGCTTCTAACATTTTACTGCTCCTGCTGAACCTTCTTTCAAAGACGTAACAAAAATACTTCAACACACGTGACTTCTGTTTTACACCAAGCTTAATTTGCTTCGTCTGTGAGACGTCGGACAAAGAAATTGCCTGAAGCAAGAGTGCAGGATAGATGCAGGATAAATTACAATGCCCACAGGAAAGAGGAATAAAGTAGGCAGATCGATGCCAGAGAAGAAACCTCAGGCAAAATACAATAAAGTGGGATATAGCAGAAGCGTCTCAGTGGCTTGGCCAGTTTGTTACCCTTCCCTTTTTGTATGTTTTGGCATTCTCCTCTGCAAGAAAACAAAAAGGAAACCCCAAACCCTAAATGTGCTACAATAAACCGTATGCTCAATGATCTTCTATTATTAATTCATTTGATTCAATTCTAACAAATTACTTCTGATACCTTGGTTTGAAAAACAATCGTCAGTCACTGGCAGATCCTCATGCATTTGTCTTTGTCCTTTGGCTGTGCTTTAGAGGACATACGTGTTGGATGTGATTTTTCCCATTGGCCATGGTATAACACTCGAGAAGATTTAGCTCCATCCGTGTTGGAAGAACAAGAATTTCATCTTGTTTTGCCGAAGTAAAGGAATCCAACAAATTTCTTCCAGAATCCAACAAGATTAAAGACAAAGCAGAAGCTGTCTACAGACTCAAAACGGCTTCGTGATCCGTCCTTTGCGGTCTTGTCTACAAGCAGTTAACAGGCATTTCCCATTTACTAAACTATAAAATGAACGAGATGGACTGATACTGTATAATACAGAGCATGAGGAGACTTAGACAAACACAGGCAGTTCTTAACTGACATTTTTCATTTCCAAGCAATTTTATATTCTTTCCTTCAGTTGCTCAATCTTTCTGATGTGGTAAAGGACAGCCTCCCCGGGTGTGCGCTTACAATGCCCATCCCAGGTCCAGAGTTGTTTCCTTTCAGTTCCCATCACTGCCTTTTTACCTTCATTGCCCTTTCTGACAGCAGGAACGCCTTTCTTCTGCCAGATAGAGATTCATGTTTCATGCAGAACGAAATGAATGACACCCTTTTTCATTTTCTTTTGATACAGTTTCCTTATACCTCGTTTTTGGGTGTGCACAAGTCTCGAGCCACTCCTTTTTGTGTTTTGTGTGGAAAATGGGAAATAGTTGGAGACATTTATTGAAACATTTAATTACAGTATACAAGGCAAAAACAGAGTTTGTACAATTCTAACAACCATGATATTTAATATTTGGTGTGACCACCTTTATTCTTCAGCACAGTCTGAACTCTCTTAGGCAGCCTTCTTTAAGTCGTCTTCAGGAATAGTTCTCCAGGCTTCTTGAAGGACATTCAAAGCTCTTCTTTGGATGTTTCTGCTTTTTGTTCTGTTCTCTGTCAACATGATCCCACACTGCTCTGTTCTGCACCCAGATTCATTGCAATTTCTGACATAATGTCAACATGTGACACAAGTTGCCTTTTTTTATTGATTGCAGGGCACCAGTTGAGTTGCCTTTCCCCCACTTCATATAAAGGAAAAATACTGATAATAGCGACTATATTGTGAAATAACACTTATTTGCTATTTTGATATGTTAAAATAAAAACTGGCTGAATGGCTGTTTAAGACGTCCTGAAATATGACACCATCTTATCCAGTCTTGGCCATCGCCTTCATTTCTTGGAACACTCTGTTTTCCTTCCTGACCTTCTCTCTGTGTACCATCTTCCCTGCAGTTCCCAAAAGTACAGCGTCAAATTATGCTGTAAAAGAGAACACATGACCCCCCCAGACTCTACTGCTTCTCCTAAGATCACATGTGACAGTTGTCCGTCAGCCAGCGTTCTTCCTGAGACATCTTGTGTTTCTTTCTGGAAGGGATGGCAATGCTGGAGCCAAGCTGGCAGATAAAGGTAACATCTGACTCCTCGACATGCAGGGAAAAACTAACCTTTTAGCAGCCGCACTGCCATTAAATCTGTGAACATCACATGACTAATAGAAATAATGAGAAAATTGAGTGGCAGGGATGTAATTCGGTAAGACAGTGAAGCAGTTGCAGGAAAAACACGATTTCAAAGCTTGTAATACAACATAGTCCTTGCTTCTGTTATTCTGAGTGCAGTTGGAAGGTCGCTCTACCACTGGGTCACATCAAAATGGCAAAGATTAGCTGATGCAGAGGTCGCGACTCAAGGACCTTATGCACAAATAAATTTAGCGCAGACAAAAAGCTACCCTTTCCAAATACAATCCACTTTAGCTTATCCACGCTGACATAACAAAAACAAGCGGGTGAAAAAAAGGGGAGCAACTGTTGCATAAAACATGGCACAATCACTTCCAAAAACTTACTACATGAAAGAAGCCCATTTTGGAGTGTGTAAACAAAATGTAATTGACAGGAAAATAGGACTTTTCACAGACATTTGATCTCTCTATATGGCAACACTGAAGATTAATTTGCCAGCACGGCAGATACGTAACTTCAAAAGTCGAACTCCGATTTGTGACTTAATTAAAAAGGCCCTATTAAAGCTGTATATGTGGGTGTTAAAAACAAGTCAAACCAAAGCATTCGTAGTGCCGAAAACGGCAACATGTTTTATAGGGCGCTGGGAAATATATGCATAATTCACAAAAAAGATGCTATTTATTTTATGAGGGAGTTTAAATTGCTAAGCATTTCACTTTTTTAAGAGTGAATTATCATAACTAAAATGATGAAAATATATTTATTTTGGTTGGGTTATTTATTTATTTATGAATTATTTTGCCTTATTTGTCCTCTAAGATAAGATAAGTGAGAAACGTGAAGAGGTTTTCACATGAACATACTGGTTATTGAGCGTATTGTTCAAAATACATTTCACTCATGACATAACTCTGACCTGTGAGGTTACGTAATCCCAGCTGCCTTAGTCCGTACAGACCGTCCCGTCTGTAGTTCAGGAAGATGGCCAGAGCGTACCGACCCTCGTAAAGTTTGGTGCCTCGGATGATCCGCAGGTTCTCCAGTGGCAGGTAGTCGAACTGATTAAGTGCCACCAGCACATAACCGGTCACTTCTTTGATAGACTGTATGGGAAGGAAAAAAATTATAATTTTAAATGATTGAAAATGGAAGAACAATCGAATCAAATTAGCCAACATTAGCCTTTGTGTTAATCATAATCACGAATATTCTTAACTTTAACCAGTTGTTATAGATGTATAACCATATTTTCACCATAGCTAGGATATTTAACAATTGATTTATTCAGTTTTCAGGACCAGCTTCCAGTTTGAATTTAACCTTGCTAGTACCAGGCTGGATATCTTAGAGATGGCCCTGGTCAACAGCAATACTGAGGTAGGCAGGTGTGAGAAGTATCGCCCACACCATTACACCACCACCACCAGCCTGAACCGTTCAGGCAGGATGGATTAATGCTTTAATGTTGTTTATGCCAAATTCTGACCCCACCATTTGAGTTTTGCAGCATTATTTGCAAATCATCAGAGCAGGCGAGCCTGTCTCAGTCTCCTGTTTCTAGCTGACAAGAGCAGCAACTACTGTGATCTTCTGTTGCTGGAGCCCATCTTGGTTGTAATAAGTGGTTATTCCAGTTACTGTTGGGTCTCTATCAGCTCAAAGTAGACAGAGAATTCTCTTCTGACTAGGCTGACAGCATGTGTGTCTGTATGAGGGACTGAACATCCTTTTTAATCCTTGTCCGAGGTTCCACATCTTGGTACAATGTCCCACATTCTAGTTGATTCTGCAGGACATGCAAGTTTGGCATTTACCTAATGCATACTTATTTGTTTAATCACAGTCAGAAGAAGATTAGCCTGTAACCTGAACATTACAAGATACCAAAAAGTCCCATCTTTTGCATATTTTGTTGAATGTTATGGAAACTACCACGAAGAAAATGAATCGGCAGTAGATACAGAGAAACAGTTTGTCTCTTTTATTCAAGTTATTTTTTTGTATTTCTGAAATACTCAGACCAACAACAACAACTATGTCATGTTGAAAACACCTTAATTGAATTTCCCAGAGGAACCCACCCGAGGGATTAATAAAGTTCTATCTTATCTTATCTTATCTTAATCAGATTTCTTCCTCAGTGTTATGGTCAGTTTGGCCTTCAACAGGTCATCTTGATCACGTCTACATGCCTTAACATACTGAGTTGCTTTTATGTGATCGGCCGATTAGATGTTTGCTTTAGCTTAACACAGTAGCCAGTGAGCATAGTTGCCAAGACCAAATTAGGGAGTAATCCAACTGGTTTTGAAGAATCATCCAATGTGACAATTGATTGGATACCAATAAATAAATGACGCCCAAGTCCATAACTTCAGATTTAAACCCCCACTGTTGTACGACTGGTTGTTAAAATGTAAATGGCCTGCATTTGTATAGCGCTTTACTTAGTCCCTAAGGACCCCAAAGTGCTTTACACTACATTCAGTCATTCACCCATTCACACACACATTCACACACTGGTGGTGGCCAAGGTGGTGGCAAGCTACATTGTAGCCACAGCTGCCCTGGGGCGCACTGACAGAGGCGCGGCTGCCGGACACAGGCGTCACTGGGCCCTCTGGCCCTCTGTAAGTGAATGGAAACTTACATTTTTACCTCCAATTCCTCTCTTCCAACGCCTGCTAGCTCTGTCGACTATAGTCAAAGCTGTATTGCATTCCTCTCATTTTCTGTGCAGAGAGCATGTTATTTGCATTTTGAAATGTCAACCACATAAAAAATTTTGATGTACAGACCACAATGATTAAAATGTCAGCTTAGTTGCAGACTGATTGCACTTCTCTGATTATATTTCCTCAACTGTTCTTTTAGGGTTGGGAATCTGCAGTCGCACATCGCATTCATAGACCCAATAAGCAATCATATCTTTATATTCTTTATATTCTTTATATTCTTCTTATTCAAATATAAATGGTATCGGTTTGATTTATTTTCACAGGCTTCAGCAGTATATGCTGTTGAAGAAACTACAAAAAAAAGAAAAATAATCTGCCCGAGAGGGACTCATAAAATGTGAAAATAGAGAGCTTCAGCATGCTGAGTGCCTTGCTGAAGAGCATGGAAGACCTCAACCATCTGCCTCATTGTGCATCAATTGACCTTCTCAAAAGTCACAAAAAATCACACTGATTACCACTGCGTTATTCACTTGTCGGGGGAAATTTATTCATCTGCCAAGTTAGGCATAAGGATGGGGCCAAGGCAGGCTCTTTGAATTTTGGAGTATTTTTCTTTTTTATGAATTCTCCACAAAAGCGTTTGTCCTCAACCCTGGGTCATCACTAAACAAATTAAGAAAAATAACTGAAAACTTGGGGTTAAATGTCAACAGTAGACTAGCACTTTATTGACACATCAACAGAAAAAGTCCTCATAAGAAGAAAACTGAGAAAACTGGGAGCCACATCAAATTGCCACTTCATATCAAGTATTATTACCAGATATGCAGCTTTATCTGTGTATGCGCATGTGTGTGTGTATCTACGAGACAGCTTATTCCCTTGATGCTAAAAATCTATCGCTGTGGCAGTGCATCAGTTATGTGAGTGACTCAAACAGCAGTGCAGGCTTCCTTATACTCACAGACAGAGAGAAAGAAAGATAATCACAAACATAATGTAGACACAACAGCTGCTAAATGGTGCACTAACACATTTTACCAACCACCACTGACAAGCTAATTGGAACCCACTACTTCTTAAAAGTGCGAGTGTGCACGTCTTTTTGTGAGTATTATCCTCTTGTTCTCCTTAGTTAAAAACGGGATCAATTTTCCACAGATTCCAGTTTACTTGTACCGATGCCCCTTGCCTCAATACCATTGGTCAACAGCACTTGCTAAAGTTAGCTTATAAACAAGTCCATGTAAGGATTAAAACAGATGGGTGTAGCTTTTGGGTATTAAAAGCCTGTGGCTGCACAATGACTAACACAGAGAGACAGATAACCATTTGCACTCACATTGACACCTATGGGCAAATTAGAATCACTAATTAACCTAACACACACTAATTGCATGTCTTTGGGCTGTGAAAGGAAGCCACAGCAGCCAGAGAGAACATTCAAACTCCACGCAAAAAGGCCCTGACCTTTGAACTCAAGATCTTGCTTTGAGGCAACAGTGTTAATCTACTTTCAAACAATTCTGTCTCTACTTTGTCAGCTATATTTAACTAATAACTGCCAGATTTCAGTAATGGAACAGTGAAATTAGAGTAAAGTATAAAGTAGAATTGCAAAAAACATCCACCCATCCATTCTCTTTCGCTTATCCTTTTTCAGGGTGGGAAGGAGGCTGGAGCCTATCTCAGCTGTCTTAGGGCAAGAGGCAGGGTACACCCTGGACAGGTCACCAGTCTGGGCTAACACAAAGACACAGACAACCATTCGCACTCCCATTCACACCTATGGGCAATTTAGAGTTACCAATTAACCTAGCCCCACTAACTGCATGTCTCTGAACTGTGGGAGGAAGCCGGAGTACCCTGAGAGAACCCACGCAAACACGGCGAGAACATGCAAACTCCACACAGAAAGACCCCGGACTGATGGGCGGTAGGACAGACTACACTTGCAGCAGGATTGCACAGGTCACCTGGATAGGAGAAACCTGCTTCCAATCACAGTCAGACAGTCTGTACTGAACAGAGAATACAATTCAACCCTGGTTACATGCCAGTTTAAAAATAAGGTTTCAAGCTTTGCTGTTAAATTGCTGTTATGCAACAACTACTTCACCATTTATAAAAGAATTTCTGAATTTTCATCCATTACTTCACCTTCTCCTGCTTATCTAGTTCAGGGTGATAGTGGAGCTAGAACTGATCTTAGCTTTCATAAGGCAAAAGGCAGCAGTCTCTTGCAGGAGTTTCTGTTTATGTAGATGACAGGAGATTTCCAACTGACAGTAACAAATTTGCAGTTTATCACAATTCGTTTCTCAATTATCAAAGACAGGCCGCATGTAATCGCCAGCTTGACCCCAATCAACTATGAACTGACAGCAGACTGACTATCACCGTCTACTTTGCACATAAAAGTTTCTTTGAAGACGGCAGTTGACAGCGAGTGGCTGCAGTTCTTATCCCCATCCTCAAAGTAACCATTTAAAAAGCAACAAGATGAAAGGTTAATTGTGCACGGTTACAATAATTTTGGTTGCGTCATGGTCTCCAAGTTCTCTCTAGTGCGACTGTCGTGTTAACGACAGCTAGCTTGCTGTGTTTTGCCCAAAGCTATCTTACAAACTGCCTAGGTTGCTGACTGCAGTCACCAAATGTCTGAATACCAATAAGAGCATTAGATGATAGAAATTGGTTATGTCAACATGTGTTTCTTTAGTGTACGGGGCATCAATGTCGCTACACAAATGTGCCTTCTGGAGAGAGTTGCTGTGCACCTCCTCAATTAAGATAAGTTAAGGATTTAATACAGGCACAGGCCTTTCACGTTCTCTGATTTGGTTTATATTTGAGTCTTGCATTTGAACTGAAAGCAGCAATTATTTCAACTTGTAGCCGAGGTGAGCCCTTTGAATTTTTGACTGTCTTTATTTTAATTCACCAGAAAAGCCTCTGTGTTCAGCCCTGGAAATGAATTCATGGCATTCGTTTGCCTTCATGTCCTGCAGAAATCTTCATTAAATAGTAAACTCTCATTTAAAGGCATTTGAAATATCCAGCGACAGGGCAGCTACTGAGACATCCTAATGACCAGAGACAGGCCAATAATGATGTGGATGATTGGTTGGGAGGGGAGGGAGGAAATGAGTAATGTGAGGTTTGATTGGCTGCTGACCCCCGGGGGACATTAGCAGAGAGTGACAGCTAGGACGCAGCGCACTGGGTGGCTGCGTTTCACGATAATAGCAGGTAACTGAGATTAGCTTCTTTTTATATTGAGTGCTAAGCAAACGCTATGCACCTGCCAGGTTGGCCTATTATAACACTAACACAATAGGAAGGAAACAGACACTGGAGGTGCTTATTAGCAAGATTACAATGTGTCAATCACCTGAAAAGAGACAGAACAACATAATAAA